AAATCGCGAAATTTTCCCACTTCGTTTTAGTGAAGCTGATAAGAAGTAAGAGACTGGCCTCTTCGTTTTCACTTTTTTATACAAATGCATGGATAATATCCATTGGAGGAATAATGAATCGACTTGAAAATACAATGCTGTAGGCATAATAATTGAACATTTAAAATTCTAAATGGACACAAAATCATTTTGATTTTTTCAAATGTTGTTTATTTCATATGATTTTGATTTAGTGTGTGCGTGTTTTGTTCGCGAATAAAAATTGAGAGGACAAAAAATAAAAACGAGAACAAAACAAAAAAGAACAAACACAAAATACATGATAATGTTGAAAGAAACGGTTTTTAAACAAAATTGAATTGATTATCGCTTATTTAATGCCAAAAAAACGATTGTTTTTCATTTTTCGTTTTTTTTCGTTCTGTTTTGGTTTTTTCGTTAATTTTGTTCGTTTTCGTTTCGCAGAGAAAATTCAATTTTCGTTTTCGTTCGCGTTCGAATAACAATATCAAACTTTTCGTTCGTTTTTGTTCGAGAAATTTTTTTTTCTTTCATTTTCGTTCGTTTTCGTTAAATTCGCAAACGAACGAACGAATTCGCGAAAACCCATTTTCGCGAAAAATCGTTTACATCTTTAATGTCAAGCCACATTGAAGTTACATCCGGAACTGGTCAGGGTTACCCGATTGGTGCTACACTGTTTCTGTTGTTCATCATTGATTTACCAAAACACATAAGGAACTCAATACTTCAGTCGTTTGCTGATGACACTCGCCTATGGAAACAAATGAGACATTATGATGACTGTTTGGAATTACAAGCTGACTTGAATAGGCTTGTTGAATACTTTAACCGGAACAAGCTAAAGCTAAATGTATCTAAGACCAAATTTGTGTCTTTTCATCGTGGCCACCTGAAATTTAACTTCGAATATTCCATTGGTAACGAAAAAATCGATCGAGTTGACGTGATAAAGGATCTTGGGGTAATACTTGACCATAAATTGAATTTTAATGCACACATTAAGTATATTATAGCCAAAGCGAAATCACGTTTAGCATGGATTAAACGATTTGGATATGAATTTGATGATCCATGGACCATAAAGAAATTATTTTCCACATTTGTATTGCCGATTGTGGAATATGCTTCCCAAATTTGGAATCCATACACCGCTGAAAAGATTGCACGAGTTGAATCGATCCAGAAGCAATTTTTATTGTTCGCACTACGCAAAATGAAATGGCCACAAAGATTCAGGAAACCTCCGTACGAATGGCGACTGCTTGAATTACAAATGATTACGCTGGAAGAGCGGAGAAAGATAGCACAAATATCACTTGTCCACAATGTGATATGTGGAAATACTTCATCGAAATACATTTTGAGCAAAATAAGTTTTAAAACACCGCGACATTGGACAAGAAACTCAGATTTCCTTTCATCACCGACGCATCACAATTGCTATTCCAAGTGTGAACCTATCAATTATATGAATGTCCGAGAATGAAAACGCAACTTCTATTCACAACACATATAAGTGAAACAAAAATAAAAAAATTTATTGAAATGAAACAACAAAACAGATTTTTTTAATGTGTTACATCGGTATGTTGTTACACTTTGAAAAAATTCGATTTTGTTGTTTCATTTCAATAAAAAAAATTTATTTTTGTTTCACTTATATGTGTTGTGAATAGAAGTTGCGTTTTCATTCTCGGACATTCATATGTTGAGTACATACAATGAATTTTATAAATACTTTGTTCCTATCAAACCGCCTAATTTACCAGATGAATGTAATGTTACTACTATTTCGAATTTTGATACTTATTTAATTGATTTTAACACAAGTACAAATACTATCAAACATAGAGTAGCTGAATATTTTAAGAGAAACAGAATTTGGAGAGAATGAAGTCAATTAGAATGAATTATCCCATTGTAAATATTGTAGATATGAAAAGATAATTATATTTATGCTAAATAAACCACCTCTGGCGAAGAAATGCTGTATGGTGCAGAACAATAATAATTTTTCACGGAACTGATAAGAGATAACGAGATGGTGTCTAAGGCAAAGTTGTAGTTCTGGTCGAGTACTACAATTAATCTGATTCATTATTCCGTTATCTCTTATCAATTACGCGAGAAACCGCAACAAACCGCGAAGAAACGCGTTTTTTCCTTATCATTTTTTCACGAAACTGATAAGAGATAACGAAATAATTATAGTGCTCAACCAGAACTACAACTTTGCCGTAGACACCACCTCGTTATCTCTTATCAGTTCCGTGAAAAATGATAAGGAAAAAAACGCGTTTTTCCGCGGCTTCTCGCGTCTTCCGCGAAACTGATAAAAGATAACGACTTGGTATCTTCCACAAAGTTGTAGAGCAGCTTGAGTACTACAACTTCATCATAGACATCAAGTCGTTATCTCTTATCAGTTACGCGAAAAAACGCGAAAAACGCGAGTTTTTGATAATCATTTTTCGCGAAACTGATAAGAGATAACGACTTAGTGTCTGTGGCAAAGTTGTAGTACTCGACCTGCTCTACATTTCTGTCAAAGAGGCAAGTCTCTTACTTCTTATCGGCTTCACTAAAACGAGGTGGGAAATTCTCGCGTTTTTCGCGTTTTTTCGCGTTTTTCGCGGAACTGATAAGAGATAAGCAATATTTGTTGCAACAAAATTATAGCAAACCTATTAGTATTACAACTTTGTTTCAGACACTAATTTGTTATCTCTTATAACAGTCCAGATTTCATATGAAATACATATGGGGCCCTGGAGTCCCCCAAGAACAGTAATATGTTGCAAATATGAAGAGCAGTCATAGTGTTAAATTAGCTCTGATTATTTGCATTGTTGAAATCAAAATGACTCTTTGAATTATAATGTATGAAATTTAATCAATAAATTGAAGAAACCGCCGACCGCGACCTTGAAACGATCAATTTGTGTGAGCCAGTGTGAAAAAACAAACTATGCGGTCATTGCACATCAGTCCATTCAACCCGGTGACTGATATTTCAGTTATTGCTGGTCATTTGAAGGCGATCGAACCGTCCCTTCACTGACAACGTGACCTGCACCAGTTTGAGACCAAACAAAAAAAGGTGCCAAACCCGACACTCGTCTCGTTCAAACTGGATGTGCCAGCTGAGTATGTTGATTTTTTCAGCAGTGTTTGGCCAACTGGCGTTACCGCAAAAGAATTCGTGCCAAAGTTGCCCCTAGAATTGGCCGAAAATCCGCTTCGCATGTCCGGACGAAGGCAAAAACCTTGAATGGCACCAAAAAGCAACCCGAGAAATCGAATCCAACTATGAATCAAAACAAAACAATCGATCGCTCCAAGCCAAAAAACGTTGTTGGCAAAGCGTACGCTCAGCGAACTAATTTGAGACACACCAAGAACTAGCATCCACAAAGGAAACGCAGGCAAGCACGTACAAATCTTTATTCATAATGGAATATAGTTACTCTTGTCAATGTACGTAAAAATCAAAACAAACTAAATTGTATAAAAACAAAAGATCAGGTTTTTCATGACTCTTGGATTCATTTTCTTGCAAAACCGAATATTCAGCCAGTTTTTGGCAGTGTAAATAAATAACTAAATAAATAAAAATGACTAATATAGCTCCGAAATAGGGTCAAAACCCTCCTCAACTCCCCAAACAAATTTCTTTTTTGGATTCTTAGTTCATGTAACTGATACCCAACGCCAGCGCCATTGCTTTGACGTCTATTTCATAATTGCGATATGGAGATTTCGAATTTATTGCGTTAATGATCAAATATGTGAAAGAACATGGACTAGCTATTAATTTCATTCATAATTCTATTACAAAACAGCTGATATCAAATGAAATACTTTACTAAAGTCAATTCTCGTGCCGAAAGCGAACACAAAACTTGTGATATCATTTAAAAAAATCGCCAAATTGAAATCGCTCCAAAATGATTTTTCAAAATTGATATCACAAGTTTTGCGTTCGCTTTGGGCACGAGAATTGTTAAAGTTTTTTATTCGATATTACAATTAAGAGCAAATTTTCACTTGTATGCTTTTTTCCAGAGATGGTTCATTGTTTACCGCAAGTGTATGTAAATGTGTATCGGTGTATGCTAAAACGTATACTTTTGCGTTGAGCGCACGCGTCAGCTAATACTTCGGTGCCAGCGAACGCGTTATTTAACACAAAGGTATATCAATGTATATATACCTGTCTGTACGCAGTATAGACAATACGATGCATTGATATACATTTACTCCATCTCTGCTTTTTGCTATTAATCCTTACGGTCATGCTTTGGTTGTTCAGTGTTCACGGCATGAATGACGTTTGAAAACGTAAGCTAAACTAAGAACGGTTTGGTTCTCTGATGTCTTCAATATATCTTTGCAGAGAATATCGAATTCTCCGAATATATTACGGAGCTCTTCATTATAATAAAGGCAATCGAACTTAGAATCATGTCTCTTCCATTGAAAATTGGTATTTTTTATTCATAAAATTCTGTATGAAAAAAACAATTGGTAAGAAAATATAGCAATTGTAGTTTTTCAAGTTTTCGCCGAATTCCATGTGCACAATTCGTCCAATAGAGTGTCCATGTACTTATTTGGTCCAAGATTTGCAACCTGTTTCAAAAAGTAGATCTTAATTTTTTAAAATGGAAACAAAATCATGATTTATTTACTTCTGCTCTTGCTTGTTCATTCAGCATCTGCAATGTTTTTTTACAGTATTCGAACGAGCCCATTTTCTCCATCAAATGAATGCAATATTTCTTCACTTCAACATCTTTGGTTCTTTGCCTCAATATATCTGAATAAAATTTATGCGACTATTATAATAAGAACGAATTTTCACACGTCTGCTTTTATCTAATAATCCTTACGTAAAACTTGCCGGTCATGCTTTTGATTGTTCACCGCATGAATAATTGGGAAGCTGAACTTTCCTTCGGTCAAATCTTCACAAAAACTTTTACTCTCCGAATATTCTTTGCTCGTCAGATTCAGGTAGTCATCACGAATTTGAAAGTACAGACCCAGAATTGCTGTTAGCTGGGAAAAGTCCGCATTACTATTGCTGAATAATTTCATCAACCTAATGGCTAACATGAAGAGACCACCGGTTTTGCGAATTGTCATTAGTTTGTATTCAGATTCTGTCGGGCACGTAAAATTATCACGCCAATAAATCTCCATGCCTTGGCCGCGATGAAGCTCCAGCAGCTGCTCGGTATATACTTTGGTTGCCTACATTTATTCGGCCAGTTTTTTTGACGGTTTAAATAAATAAATGAAATAAATACACATGGAATTTTGAATTGAATACATTTAAAAATTGACTTTGCGTTACAAAGAATGTAGGTTGAATCAATGTGGAAACTATTTGGGATATGTTATTTGTATACTAACGTCAGGATGATCGAGTTGTTGCACTTTTTCCAGAGCAAGGAAAAATACATAGTTTGCTGCATTTATAGTGCTCGCAACGCCATATATAGAATGAGCCACCTTAAATTTTTTTATTAAATTATCAATTATTTAAAATATTTGTCAATATAAGCTTCGTGCTGCGTTGAGCATTTTAGTGAAGATTGGGATGTTTTTCATTCCTGTCACATGAAAAGCGGCTAGAACCAGTTTGAAGAGTAGTAATTTCTGTACAACGCTGTGCCTTCTCTTGTTGTCGCCAACTAGTGTTAGCAAGTGTACTACGAACAAACTGTCAAAATCAATGTCAAATTAGTCAACAGAAGAGTGAAAAAGTACATATATGAGGCTGTGAGAATGAAAATGGCAATACAGGAATAAACATTCTGAA